TATATATATATATCTGCACATGCGCACACACGCATCCGCTTTTATGTGGCCCAAGTATACGCACGTACATTTAAAAGTCTTGATGCATGTGGCTGCATTCATCGTTGGACTTTCCGCAGGGATACATGTCGACATCGACACACATGCGTGAATAGGTGCGACACGAGACACATGCTGTCACAATGCTGCTGAACGAACACATGATGTCCATTTGACCCCCGCGGCAAGAGATGACTAGTGCAGGATCAAACAAGGGAGCTTTTCTTGCACATTCGCTTCGCGGATTCCAAACTCGACCGAAACCGGAACGCTACTAACTAAGTGCAGACAGTTTTATAAACCCCATGCGCCCGATAAGCCTTATACTCTAAGCCCTAAACACTAAACCCTAACTCCGAAATCCTTGCCAGCTTCGTGCGAGAGTGAGAGAGTCGAAACCCTAACCTCGAGATTTGAAGATCCATCCGAGGCCACTTGAGAGGTCGGAGCTTCCAGTTTCCAACTTGCAACTTGGCTGACGGTTTAGGGGTGTAGGAGTTTAGGAGTTTAGTGTGTAGGGTTTAGGGTATTGGATTTAAGGTTCAGGAAAGCTCAGTCCGTGCTCAGACAGGGTTTAGGGACAAGTAGCACTGAGATTTGGGGCCTAGGGAGGTCTGAGAATACTCATACGGAGCACTGATGGACAGCGGGTGACTACCTACCATCGCAAAGGCCTTTAGGGCCCACAAGCTCTGAACTTCAAAAAAGCGCTAAAGGCTCTAAGGACCCCGCACTGAAACCAAAAGCACTTTAACTCAACAAGCTGACGTCGAAGGCCAAAACCCCTAAACCCTAAACCCTAAACCCTAAACCCTAAAATGACCATCCGAAGTCTTCCCCAAACCCTGCAAGTCTTTTTCTGGTCCTTTCTAGAGCCCCCCTAAAGCCCTAAAGGAACATGCCTAAACCTAAAGCTCTACATCCCACGCCGGTTCATGCGGTTTGGGACAAAAGGTCTTAGGGTTGAGAGCGTCTGAACTTTACAGTTCTTGTAGGCTTGATCCATATGCACACATGTTGAAGCCCAAATGGCGAGAGCACTTTTAAACCCTAAACCCTAAACCCCTAAACCCTAAACCCTAAACCCTAAACCCCTAAACCCTAAACCCGAAACCCAAAACCCTAAACCCTAAACCCGAAACCCAAAACACCTGGCTGAGGTCCAGAGTTCCAGCCGTCCCTGTGCTGCCAGCTCCCCTCGAATCTCGGACTTAATATAGGGGCCTAAGTAATTTTTTTGGGGGGTTCCTTATTGTAATTATAGTATAAGATACCCCAAAACTCCATTCTACTGATTACGGCCCCTGCATAAGGGGCAGAGGGAAAACCAAGCATTGTTTGTCAGTTTTGTCAAGGGCGCCTCTCTACGGCAACCCCAAAACAGTCGGAAATGTTGATGATGATCGCAGAAGTGGTGGTGGTGGTGGTGGTGGTGGTGGTGGTGCTGATGCTTTAGTCGGTGGTAGGGGTTCAGGTTGCCTGGCATGGTGCTCGGAGGCCCAGGGGACTTAGTAAGTCGGTTATAAGTAGGCTTATAATTGGGGTAACTCCATTTAGGGCACTTATAACTCTACTTATAACCTACTTACTAAGTCCCCTGGGCCTCCAAGTGTCGGCGGATCGAAGGGTCGATCAGCAGCGGTGTCTAAAGATTTGTCGGTTTTTGGTCCGTGTTTGGGGCCAAGGCTGAGGGCGTAGGGTGCTTGGGGCTTCAGGGTTTGTTGGACTTTCGGGTATGGTGGTTGTTGCCACCTGCAGCCTTTCTAACTGGATTAAAAACCCCCCGGGGGTTCCTTAAGGTAGATATGTTGACATTGTGAACAGCAGCCCACAAACCGCATTCTCACTATTCAGGCCCCTAGGTTTCTGAGCATGAAAGTTCGATTCCCGAAGCTCGGGCAAAGGGTTTCGACTCTTAACCCTAAGCCCTGAACCCTAAACCCTCTTGCAGCTTGAAGACACCAGGTTCCGGAACTAAAAAGCTTCACCGGATACTGGAAGATGAACCATCTAGGGCAGTTCTCTAGGTTAGGGTCTCTTTCGGGGGCCCTTTTTGTAAGGGTGCCGCACTATATCGGGGACCTAGAAAGGGACCCCACTTTGGAGAACTACCCATGTGGGAGTTTTCCAAAAAATTCTTGGTTTGTTTAGGGCCGCTCATGCTCGGGAGGGTTTAGAAGAAATCCGAGATCATTGATTGCCGGTTGCACTGCACGACTGGCCTCGGAAGTTACCTTCTTTCCGACATGTCGAGGTTGAAGCTCTCGATGCTTCGAATAACAGCTTTTATGCCTGTAGTTCTGAAACTGAGTTCCGTAGGAGGAACGTAGAAAAGCTTAATCGAGACTGAAGGATCTCTCTCAGCCGAGCCCTCAAGCTTCACACATATGCACGTGCATGCGCCTATGCACATGCCGACATATACATATGCAGGCAAACTGTACTAGAGCATGCATGCGTGCATGTATGTGTGTATGTATGTATGTATGTATGTATGTATGTATGTATGTATGCATGTGTGTATGTAAGTATGCAGGTACACATACACACTTTGACTACTTACTGCATACTTATACACTTACATACAGACTTACATGTTACATGCTTACATGCTTGCTTGCTTGCTTGCTCGCTTGCGTGCTTGCTTGCTTGCATACATATTTTTTAAACAGGCAGACAGACACAGGCAGGCAGAAACCCTAAACCCTAAACCCTAAACCCTAAACCCTAAACCCTAAACCCCAATCCCTAAACAGGAGCCCTTAAAGAGAGCCCCCGAATGAGACCGAACCCTTCAAAAGGAGCCGTAAACAGGAACCCTTAAAGGCAGCCCTTAAACGGAATCCTTCCAAGGAGCCCTAAAAAGGAGCCCTTGAAGGGAGTCCTTACTATACCCTAAACCCTCAGCCCGAAACCCTCAAACCCTGTGCTTGCTAAGTAGGAGGGAGAATAACCCTAAACCCTGGCTTGCTGTGTGCGAGAGTGAGTCGAAAGGGAGCCCCCCCAGACGAGGAGCTTGAACGGAGCCCTTACTAAACCCTCAACCCTCAACCCTAAACCCTCAACCCTAAACCCTATCCCCTATCCCCTAAACCCTAAACCCTAAACCCTAAAGAGAGCCCTTCAAGGAGCCCGCCCCTGGGTCTCCGGAGCTGCCGAGCATCGGATCCAAGGGGCACCACCGTGGGGACTGCCGGCCATGCGGCTTCCTCTATGCCGCTGTGAACGGTTTGGGGAGTTTGGGGTTTAGGGTTCAGGGTTTAGGGTTCAGGGTTTAGGGAGTTTGGGGTTTAGGGCTTAGGGAGTTGGCGTTGACCCAGCTGATAGCACACAGCCTGGCTCAAAAATAAGGGAGTTGGGGTTTAGGGTTGAGGGTTTTGGGTTCAGGGTTTAGGGTTGAGGCCTCTGCGCCGCTGTGACAGTGGTGGTAGTAGTAGTAGTAGTAGTAGTAGTAGCAGCAGCAGCAGCAGCAGCAGCAGCAGCAGCAGCAACAACAACAACAATAGTAGTAGCAATAGTAATAGCAACAGTAGCAGTACCAGCATTCGAAATACAGTAATCATAGCAATGGTAATAGCTTGAGGGTTAAGGGAGTTGTAGGGTTTTTAGTTCGGGCTTAGCTTAATCTACGCCGCTTTTCGTGGGATAGTAATCGTCTGACAACGGGACTGTTGGGGTGTGGGGCTTAGCCAGCGTTTAGTGTAACGCTTTATTTAGGTTTTGGCTGGGCGTTTGTCTTGCCTCCAACTGGCTTTACGGAACTTTCTTCCGGAACCTTAGTCAGTCGACTTCCTGGGACTGGTAGTGCTCTTTAAAGAAGCCGCTTAAAGGAACCCTTACTAGGGTGGATCTTGTCGGTAGAGTTTCAGGTTTGGCAAAGGTCGGGGTTCTTAACAAGGGTTTAGGGTGTTAGGGTGCGGGGTTTGGAGTGGTCGAGTTTTGAATCTGTTGCAGAGTGTAGTGTCGTGGGATACCGGGGCCCTGGTGTGGGGTACAGGGGTTAAGAACTGAGTTTGGTGTTTCAGGGTCTGTCTGAGGTGTATTTAATTTAAATTATTTGGAAGGCATCCTGGGCATGCAGGTGTTTGTATTTCAGGTTATTCCCGCAGGATTTGGTAACCACATGGCAAGTGCAGGGAAGGACGATGGAGTCTGCTGGACTGAGGCCAAGGGCTGTATCAACGGGGCCATGTGCACCTTCTGTCATCTGTGTGACCGTGGGGCAAAGAAGCGTCGCCAGAAAGCCAAGAAGGCCGCATTGAAAGGTGGCGCTTGAGCCAAAACTCAGTAGACTGACTGATGGCGGTTGCAGTTCTCACCAGCAGAACTGTGTTCGCCCATAGGACCGGCTACCAAGTCGGAAGTAGAAGCCCGTAGATCAAACAAAGTATGCACATATGTGCATAACCTCTTAGTTCTCGATAGTGTCCATCCAGTTCCATGCGTACCATCATACATAAGTCTATACTTACGCACGTGCATGTATCAAGATAGGTAGTTAAATCGGTACATGGAGTGTGCATAATGAGCAGGCCCTCCGAGGCTTTTCAGTGCTGCCGTTTGAGACGGCGCAGCAATGCGCTGTACACGAGCCGGCTGGCCGGGTGCAGCTTAGGACTTTAAATTAGGCACCAAGAGTTTATGAGTGCACGCAATCAAGTCGGCACTACTGCACAGAAAATTCGTACAGACGCTGGGAGGAACTCGCATGCCAGTCTGGGACAGCTTCTGTAAAGGGACCGTGGTCGCTTTGGGCTTTGATCGCAACTGAACTCTGAGCTACCACTTCGGATGCCGCTTCACGATCCAATGCTGAAGCAAGAGCCCGCAGTGTTGCGGTATGCGCTTTGGAGACGTCTTGGGGGCTGTTCTAGACAAGATAGGTATTCTCCAAAGGACCCATAGCTGCAGTAACGCCCCCGTAGTCTCAAGACTGGCTGGCCCAGGCAAGGTAACCCTTACCGCTACGGTGAGTGGTGGGCATGTGCGCTGTTTCCCGGCTGATAGTTCCCACGCACGGCCTGACAGAAAAGGACAGGAAGGCTTTTGATATAGGAGCCAATGCAGTTGGAAGAGGGCCTTGGGCCTTGTGCATAGTAGGCATGTCATCAGTTTCTAGAACTCGAAGTTGCGAAGGCAGAATCCTAAACCCTAAACCCTACACCCTAACCCTGCTTCGCGACTCGCTCAGCCATGCAGGAGGCAAAAAACACCGCTCAAGCTTAAACAAAAACTCAGGAGTGCACCTGGGCAGCTCCAGGATGGCTCTAGCAGGAAGGAGGTGCAGGATGCAGGGATTCATGGCCGTTCCAGACCTGACTTGTAATGTGCCAAGAAAGATGCTGCAAGAGAGGCCTAAACCCGCCCAGCCCCTTAAAATACCATCCTTGCGGGCACGCGTATTGCATGCACGTGTCTCCTTGGCTCCAGCATTAGGGCAGGGAGTTGTTCTTGGTACCTTCGCCTCCCGCGCACGCGCGCGTGCCAGAGGGCTTTGTCGCAATGCAGCTCGGCGTGCAATTCTCTGTTGGTATAGTATACGGGCCCAAATACTTACCAATATTCCCTTGGGTTCCTTAATATATTTATACATGACAAGAGCCCAAAACCTGTTCTAATTTGGGTTCCTTAATATATTTATACTAGACAAGAGCCGAACACTTGTTAAGGCCCCCGCATTAGACAACGCGAACTTCAACTGAACCAGAGGCCTGGGCAGGCAGGTATCCCTAAAGCCGGTTTAGGGTTTAGGGTTTAGGGTTTAGGGCTTGGATTGTGCGCCACCCCTAAAACCCTAAACCCTAAACCCCTAAACCCATGAAGTCTTTGGTTGAAGCAGAAAGGCTAACATAGCAGCCATTTCGGCCTCACCCCCCCAATCTAAATACTCAGTTCGACGACTTCGCACTGAGCGTTATGCACCAAACTCGAAAACATTCAAAGTATCAAGGCTCTGTCTCTAAGCATGTCGAGGTGTTGCCAGCAGTTGATGAGAGTTCAGAAACCACAGAGAGCGGAACGAGCCAGAAAAACCAGGCATTCAAGTTCAGGGCGCAGGGTTTGAGAAGTTGATTGACATGATGCAGGGAATCTGTCCGGGCGAGCGCAAATGCTGATGAAGCTGCGTAGAAAATCGGGTTGAGAGGTTTTGGGTTCTAGGGCGGCTAGGATCTAGGGTTTCAGGATCCAGTGCCTGGGATTGACCCTAAACCCTAAACCCTAAACCCTAAATGATTGAGGGTGCCGGTTTAACTGAGGCTTAGGATGTGGAGTTTAGGGTTTTGGACTTTATGTAATGCGCCACCCTCTTGGAAGCAGTTGAAGCATTGTCAGGCTCTTGTGTCTCATGCCAAGCTTTCTTCGCGAGCCCCCACGACCCTAAACCCTAAACCCTAAACCCTAAACTCTAAACCCTAAACCCTAAACCCTAAACCCTAAACCCCGACAACCCTAAGCTCTTCCCCGAGCTAAGACACTTTTCTAAGCAAAGTGGGAGTCCAATTTCTGCAAAGGCTAAGGGTTTAGGGTTTAGGGTTTAGGGTCCTCATAGTATCAATAGTGCCAACAGAGCTTCAACACAGTGTCACATGCGGTACTGTTGGGAGAAGACTGCTAGCTGCTCAAGATTCCATGGGTTCTTAAGTTCTTATCAACTCCAGATCAGGACGAGAGGGAAGAGAGACTAGACGACATGTTCAGGTACCAGCCGAAACTCCTGTCGCAAACCTCGGGTGCTGCCCGGCCTTTGCCGAAGATGGAGATCGTGGTGCCAGAGACAGATTCGGACATGGGTTTCCCAAAAAGCAGGAAGGAGGAAGATGAACCATACTATATTTAGAATAGACTATGCTATAGTATACTATGCTATACTATACTACAGTATAGTCTGGTAAAAAAAGGTATAGTATAGTAGAGTATAATATAGTATAATAGAATATAATATATCGTTGTGCGAAGACTGGGCTTCAGCAAGACCCCCTGTAGGAGTATCGATCCACACGGCCCTAGAGCAACACCAGTGTCTAGAGCAACACCAGTGTCTTCAAGCGAGAAAGGATTCCTCAGCATCCCTAAGCCCTAAAGCGCGAAACCCTAAACCGGAAAACCCTAGACCCTGACACCTCAGCCCTAGTAGCTCGAAGTCTTCAATCCTAAGCAGAATCCCAGCGCCCCTTCCCGAATCTTGAAGCACTCCGAATACTAGCCTCTGGATTCGCGTATGACGATTTATATTGTGATTCTCAGTTACCACGACTAGCGAAACTGTAGGAGTGTCGGCCGGAAAAGGCATCGTGTTATCAGTGTTCCTGAGTCCCACTACCCTCACTACTGTCATTATAGTTGTTGGCTTCATTGCTGCTGCAGTCTGATGGCCGCCTTCATCTTTGATTCCATGCTCGTCGTCGTCGTCGTCGTCGTTGTTGTTGTTGTTGTTGTTGTTGTTGTTGTCGTCGTCGTTACTTTTCCACTGTTCTTATCGCAATTATGATCGTTTCTACAAGGTTTTGATTGTTTGTGTTCGTGCTAGAGCATCGATCGCTTACTACATTCCGCAGTAGTAGAGAGTAGGCTGCGAGCAATGATGTAGCAGCGGAGATAGCTGTGTTGGGCAAGTCATTCCAGCCCCAACCACGACTTCAACCCCAGGCCCTAGCCTTAAGCCCGAAAGCACTCAAGCTCTACCCGGTTGAACAGCCCCAAACCGACAATTTCTTTCGGCAAGCTTTGCAGGACCTGCTTTCCTATCCTCCGGATTGTATCGAGGCACGGAGGAAAATGGAAGGGAGGTTCAGGGGCCCCTAAACCCAAAACCCTTCAAGCCGACGATGCAGAGGGAAGGCCGAAATCTCATATCCTAACCTGACCCAGAAGCATTTAAACCCTAAGCCCTAAACCTTAAGCCTAAACCCTAAACCTTAAACCCTAAACCCTAAACCCATTCTTCTCTAGGACTTCAGCCATAAGTTTCTCCAGAAGCACAAAGCATGCCTCCCAGACGTTCCCTTAGTCACTGGCCGTTATGGTTCATATGGGGGTTTCCGAAAATAGGGGACCCTAAAATAGTACCTCAAATAGTGGGATCCTTATTATAAGGACCCCAAAATAAGGCACCCCCTAATTTTCGGAAACTCCCA